CTTTTCGTCTAGATCCAGACCGAAGGCGCAGGCGCTGATCATTGACATCGTGAACTTCTGGAATAGCTCGTGCATTGACTGCTCCGGCTGCTTCTGTATAGTAGTATCGATGTATTCAATGAATTTGTCAGCGCGCTCCGTCATCAAGTACAACATGTTCTTGAGTTTCCCCGATGTAAAAACGGGCGTGAAATGACCTCTCAGAACTCTCCATCTGTCTCCATCAGCGTGGAATATATTAGCTCCCATACCCTTGTCGCTGAACTCTACTCCTCTATCGACGAAGTTGTCAAAGTCTTTAATGAGTACATGCTTGACAAGCTCCAAGTCGCGAACAAGGACCGCCGGCGTGGTCATTCTGTAGATTCCGACCACTTTTTCTTCGGGGTACGCTTCGTAAATACTCCTGTACATAGATATCAATGGCTTTCGTCTGAGAACGGAATCCTTAAGGTTTCCGAAGAACGGTACCGGCTTGGGTCCAACGACATTTCTCTTCTTCCAGTAGTCAAATGTTCTGGTGAAGTAGTAGTACAATACGGGGAGCAAAGCTGCTACAAAGGCCAGTATGTACAAGTATATCATTGTGCCGTGCGTGTTGCGTCTGGATGCGGCTACTGAATGCTAAGTCTCGAAGGGAAGCGTATATATATGGACGCCTATCGCATCCGCGTTTACGCTAATCAGACAATAGCTACATTAGCAAATTATATGTATAATTATGGTCGCTTTGCTAAATATTTTGTGTTTTATGTATGTTTTTTTTTAATTTTTCTTAAATGTTTTAGTAGCATTACATGTGGACGAAATGTATTACAAATATGGGCTTGTGTATGCGACCATTGGAATTAGTTAAAGTAGCGCATAGAAATAGGACATTTCACCTACCTTTGCGCCCCATTCCCTGCAAGATCTTCATCCTGATCCTTTCCTTGTACGAAATGGGTGCAAATAGAAAGTTCCCGAACACAAGCTTCGAGAAGTAATTATTAATATTGCCATATTCTAAGTGATTTTATACCGATTTAGCATTTAGCTATACTCTAGGGGGACAGCTAGCTACGCTATTAAGGTTACATGAGTTTGTAATAATGTAAATGTCGTACGTGATCGCAGGCTAGAATTGTGGCATAAAGTTTAAAATAGTTCTGGCAGCAAAAAAGGCAATACATTGTCACCACCAGTATCACCACACCTGACCACCAAGCCAGAGTTACCTGCTCTTTGCATTGCATTTTAACTACATGGCTTTTTTCAAACTAAGATATTCCATCGACATGAAATATTTGTGTGACATACAAAAATTTTTGTCTATCCAGTTGGACCGGTTTTGACTCCTAATAGCTAATATATGTATAACTAGCTTCTGCCCGCGCCTCCGTCCGCGAGAAATTTAAAAGTAATAAACAGGAAATGAACAAGTGACAAGAAAAAAAAAATACCTTTCTAGAGGTGAAAGAAATTTTAAAATCGGCCCAGCAGCTTTTGAGCCGATTCATTACAATCAAACAATGTTTTCTTCTTTGTAATATTAGTATTGATTATTATTATAGTATAGATATACATCCCCTCCCCCTCATTTTAATCCCTTAAACTTCCTGCCCTCACCTTGGTACTAATAAACAAGTCGATTTTCAATTAATTTTCAATGAATTACTATTTAAAACTTCTATAACTTAGGCGATGTTGATGCTATTTTTACGTAATAGGGCAAACGTGTAGCGTGTACATCATGTAGAACGGGATTATTCCCAACCGTCATCCCTCTCTGTCCCCACGTGAGGACAGATGAGAATAAAAAGTTTCATACGTCCTACCTTTTGCGACGAAAGGACGATTGTAACTTGTTTTATTTCTTAACCGTTCTAACTGTCACCTTATTGGTTAATGACAGAGACTAACAACTAGACAACTAAGAGAGACAGGTGAAACTTTTCATTCTTACCTGTTCCGGCGGCGGGACAGAGCAGGGTGACGGTTGGGGATAATCCGTAGAACGAGGCACATAGACGAGTGTGATCTGTCAAAAGTTGTAATTAACTCGACAATATGACGCATGTGGATACAAAGTTTAATTCGTTTTCATTATTATTCATACAATAATAAATAATAGCATGACATTCGTGATATTGTACGCGTAAAGACTATTTTTTTAATATCATCGCGCCACCACATTTTGAAATAAGCATGACAAGGAATTTGGTGTACACTTTGTGCTGTTTTCGTCATCGCTAGATATCAAAGAGGTGATCAATAAAGATATATTAATTATAACATTAAATATATGACAGAACTAGATAACAGCATGAAAACATTAAATATAAACGGCTTGTACTGATAAGGCTGTAACTATAAATTAAACAGTGGTAGCCCGCTTTAACATCTTCGCACGAATGGGCCGGCTCGCCCGATGTAAGACCGCGACCAGAAACAGGCGTGAAGGAGCAATTCCGCGTTTCGTCTGATGAGGCTTATTTTAATCCCTTTCCATCCTTTTCTTGAGAGGAAAGGATGGGAAGGAAAAGAAGATATGACGGTGGAAAAGACGCATAGGAAGGGGAAATGTACCCTTTTACGTGCATCTCCTCCTGTTAATAACAACTGCAACAGCAAAGTATGGTTTGTTAACATGACTGATGGTTTTGAATAGCAAGCCATTACAAAAGTATTTTTACAAATAATTTGCGTATGATAGTAGAAAGAAACACGATTGTCTGTTTTTAAATAACTACCGCTTTTATGTTTGCTATAATGATTCAAAATAATACTTAATTTAGAAACATTTTTAAAAACATAAAAGAACATTTACATTAGCACATTTTAGAACATAGAAAATCTTACTGGCACTATAAACACAAACTTCAAATAAATCGATGGAAGTTATTACTACCACAGATAACACAATACTATAACTACGTATCTCCAAAACAGCTGAACGAATTTTACTGAAATTTGACACATATGTTTGGAAGTACACATTAGAATACAAATGAGGTTTTTTTTTTAAATGTACGCAGATAGCCGCGAGCGATAGCTTTGTCTAGATAATCTAAGAATAAGGCAATATAATAATTAAGGGCCCGATTCAAAAGGCAGTCTCGCTTTAGGCTATACATTTTCACGCCATTAAACTTAGGGTATAAATATTTTGGATAAAAACCCTAATGTGGGAAAGAGACCATAAGTTGCTGCCAACATCAAGGAACCAAGATGGCCAAGTTTTGTCATGTCACGTCATTGACATGCAATTGACACCTGTAAACAATAAAATAAAATTCTCATAATTTCATGCGGATGAAGCCGCACGGGAACAGCTAGTCATACTTCATACTAATATTATAAATGCGAAAGTTTAGATGGATGTTTGTTAGAGTTTGTAGCTTAAACGGCTGAACGGATTTAGATGAAATTTGGTATAGATGTAGAAGCTAGTCTGGAAGAACACATAGGCACTTTTGTTTTTTTTTTAATACCACGCGGACGAAGTCGCGAGCGAAAGCTAGTATTATATATAAATATAAGTTCAGGAATCAAAGCGAGACTAAACAGCCATACGATAGTTTGGTTTCAGGTGTCTTAATCGCACATGTTAACTGACAGTTTAAATATTGCCTACATATACATAATTATAAATAACATTTGTCTAATATCATGATAAAAGTAAGTAATAAAAGATAGCGAAACTGTTGGGTTTCTGATACTTGTAATTTTTGCAATCATCACCAGCTCTCTACGTCACAACGAGGGGCTCGGAACCTATCCTAAGTTAGGGTGGCTATACCAGTTCCCGTGACCCAGCCAGTGGCGGACAAGAGGGTCACCGCTGGGTTTTTAGTGGGTATTCCGGCCACGTCTGTTCTTTTTGGCCGGCGAGTCCCACATACCCCCCTGGCAACGGGGGGGATGCGTAAAGGCATTTTCCCAGCGAGAAAAAAAAAGGGTGGCTATACCATAGTCAACCAGGATGGTCAACTGCAGGTTGACTTTACATATATCTTAAGAACTTCGGGTAAATTATGTACGTATGAAAATTCGTTAAACCGAAAATCACTTTGGTACGTTGGGAATTCGAACCCAAAAGACGTTACAAGTCAAGTGCTTAAACCATTGAGCCACCGACGCTCTCCAAGCATTTTTACAATGTCATCAAGACTTAACAATATGCGTGACAATCTATAAAACAATTTTCGACGCAAGCAACGTTATCAAATTACTGATTAAAATAAACATGAAGTGATATTTTTAATTATTTGATAATACTAAACCCATCTCAAATTCATTCTGTACGGCATCGTGTAAGATATCTCGTTGAGAGGGCATTTGCACGGACGTTTTTTTAACGCCGCGTTAAAAAGTCGATGGGGTCTTGCGGATGATAAACGCTTTAAACTCATATTTCGTTCGACAAGCGTTCAAAATGCAATACTCTGAGATAAAAGGTGTTGCACTTTATGTGCTATTGTCTGAACAGATGTATGCCTTTATATTGATGCCTTTATATTTTTAAACACCTTGTTTAACACGTTTTGCAAAATCGCCCGTACATATTAGGGTTCAGTAACCGTTCGTCACGCACGATGAGTTAAGCCGTTCTTAATTATTTTATGATGTCTCACGCAAGTTTAAATTAAGATATCTCTTTATTCACGACATAAACATGTGTCGAATTTAATGGAAATGAGAAATGTCATTTATTAATTTGTTGCGATGTCTTTGTTAATAAAGTTTAAAAAATGTTTAAAAAAAATCTTGCTAAAATGTTTTCTGCTTAAATAATATAGTTATGTAATTTTAACAAGGTAGTCAATAAACGGGCTGTCATGGTCCGAGACACAACACAGAGCCCAGGATAGAGCGAGCTGGCGACGTACTGTGGACGCCCTTTGCCCACCTTTGGGGACATTGGAATAGAAGAGAGAGAGAGAGAGAGAGAGACTCAAGAGATGAAAAGTCGATTAAGTATAGGATGTATAACTTAAGGAAATTTTATATTTCTGTACACTGTGGCACTTGCTAACACGCTAAGGGTACTTACCTTACCACATGTAGCGCCGCCTAACAAAAAGGAAAATTTAAAAAAAAGGAAAAACTGAATAATTCTACTCGAAAATAGTATTCGGATATAAAAAAAAATTCTCAGCTTTATCACTATTTTTTTTTTAAATTGTAATCATTACGTTCACTCCAGATCTTTTGTGCACTACTCTATGATACTCCAGTAAGAAGACGAATATGATAGTTTCTCATTTTTCTAAATATTTAGTCTCCAGGTCTAGGCTATCACAAAGGAATTGACTTAAATACAAACCCACATACATTAAAATAAACTGAAGCGCGAAACACCCTCTTTGTCAATCGGGTTAAAAACCTAACCTAAAAGAAAGTGACAACGTGAACGGACTTTCACAAGACAAGTTTCAACGAAACGTTGATTTAGTAAGGATGCTTATCAGTAACCTTGATTTGATGTTTTTATAATGTTATCTAATTCTCTGATATAAGGACTTAATGTTATAACCAACATAATATCTATATTAATCATCTATCTGTTATTTACAATGACGAATTTAAATGTACAAAGTCCACACCAAATTCGTTGTCATGCTTAAAAGAATAAAATTTTTATTAAAAAAAAACAAAATCGAATTCCGAACAAAATACACTATAAAAAGAAACATTCTTAGAAAAAACAATACACTAAAAAGTAACGAAATAATTCGTTAAAAATAGTAAACCTCCCTTATTGTAGCTGTTATGTCTATATTGTACAATTATTATTACTTTAATGTCGGTGTCAGCCGAGGTATGCAGTGATTTTTCTACGTAAGGCTTTCTACACTTTTACCATTGAAAGTATAGTTACGTTTATGTACAATCTACATTGACTGACACCGACTTCAAAGTAGTAATAATTCATCATCCACTTGCCCTTATCCCTTATGGAGGGTCGGCACAGTATGTGCTGCTCTTCCATACATCTCTATCAGCCGTCATATCTGAATCCACTCCTTTCTTAAGCATATCCTCTTTCACACAATCCATCCATACTTTCTTCGGTCTTCCTCTTCCTTTGTAGCCATCCACATTCAATCTTAACACTTTCTGGTTTATGTCCCCATCATTTCGTCGCATAACATGTCCATACCACGCTAACCTTTTGCTTCTCAATTTCTCCACCACTGGTGCTACTTTCAAACTTCCTCTAATGTACACATTCTTAACTTTATCCATTCTTGTCACACCACACATCCATCTTAACATACGCATCTCAGCCACATGCAATCTCTTTTCATCCGCAACTTTGGTGGGCCAACATTCAGATCCATACAATACGACAGGTCTTATGATGGACTTGTAGATAAAGTAGTAATAATTGTAAAAATATATTTATCTTACTAATGTTATAAATGCGAAAGTCTAGATGGCTGGATATCTGTTAGAGTTTGTAGCTCGATGTTTTTAGATTTAAAAGAACACATGGACTACTTACTTTTGTTTCTTTTTTTTAAACACGCGGATGGAGTACGGGCGAAAGCTATTTATGATAAATATAATTTAATAGGTATTTTCTGTACGAATAAAAGAAACTAAATAAATAAAAGGAAGTAACTAGATAACATCAAATCAAAAAAGTTAAATTTTTAACGAGCAAACAATAGCAGTAAGTTGACTCGACAAAAGACTACGTTTTCATATAATAAATTGAATTTTCAAATAGTATTAATTAATAGAAACAGGTGGTTCCCGTTGAAATTAGTCATCCCGTTGGGATTTTTTTATTGGGTCGTTTGATTGTATGGATTCGAACGGCCCAATGGGAGAAACTATACTAATTCAATCAATTGATAGGTCCATTTGGCCTATCGGGAAACTCGAGGATTTTCAAATCTAGGATTTTTTTCGAGATAGCTGTAATTTATAATAACCACTAGCAGTAATCAGGAAGTTTCCAGTAAAAGTACCGTGAAAATTGGTTCAGCTGTTTCGGAGATTGGTCGATCAAAAACTGCTAAAACCGTTTTTAATGCAAATACATCATACAAATTGTGTTTTTTTTTACAAAGATAAATAAATAAACCCACAGATAAGACAATGAGCGTCGGTGGCTCAGTGGTTTGAACACTTGACTTTTAACTGCAGGTCTTGGGTTCGAATCCCGCCATGTACAAATGTGATTTTCGATTTTTCGAATTACCATATGTACATAATTTACCCAAAGTTCTTACGGTGAAGGAAAACATCGTGATGCCTGCACATATCGGCGAAGAATTTCAAAGATATGTGTAAAGTCAACCAACCCGCACTTGGCCAGCGTGGTTGACTATGGCCTAGTCACCCCATATTAGGGTAGGCTCCGAGCCCCTCGGTGGGGACGTATAGTGAGCTGGTGATGTGATGTGATAAGACAAAGCATACCAAACTGTAATGCTTGGTCTACACTTACTTAAAGTTGACAATTTTCCATTTACTTACTACTTTTCCTTTGCCTCCCAATATCTACTTATGTTTATGATAAAACATTTAATAAACTATAAAAATAAAACATTTAATCCTTATCAACACTACAATACAATTAGAAACAACGAAAAAATTGTTGGCGGTATTAGATGTGTTAGCAACATCAATCAGTTTTAGGAATTTTTCAATATAATTGAAAAAAACGTTAAAATCATAAAACTGGTTGAAACGTTTCCTTGTCTCCCAACACATTTAGTACCATGGAAGATTTGAGTGATGCAATTGTTAATTGCTATTAAACGACCAACACGACCGTACACTAGGCTTTCGAAATGAAAATAAACAACAACCTACGATACCCTGCTGCATGTTTTCGTATGCGGACTTGTTTAAACATGTATGGGCTCGTATTGTTTTCGACCTTCGCACTTATTACGAAACGATAAGGAACGATGCGAAGAGATTTTTATGTAAATAAAACATTCAATAGTAAACAACAAATATATTATTATTTGTCTCATCTCGAACGATGAACATCTTTACTTAATGTAATGTTATAAAGAGGAAAGTTTTTTATTTTTGTATGTGTTGAAATAAGTCAAACGCTACCGGGCCTATTTTAAAAACTCTTTCACCATTAAAAACCTTCGTTGTCATTGAGTACCAGAGGCTATGTTTTTTTACTATAACTTTAATTCCACGCAGACAAAGTCGCGAGCAACCGCTAGTATTTTATAAATACATTTGCTTAAATATTTCGTAACATTTATTAACTATACTTGTTGTACCTATGATTTGCTGGTGGAGCTATTCTCTGATTAGCGTCAACGCGGATGCGATAGTCGTCCATATATATACGCTTCCCTTCGAGACTTAGCATTCAGTAGCCGCATCCAGACGCAACACGCACGGCACAATGACGTACTTGTACATTCTGGCCTTTGTGGCAGCTTTGCTCCCCGCACTGTACTACTACTTCACCAGGACATTTGGTTACTGGAAAAAGAGAAATGTCGTTGGACCCAAGCCGGTACCGTTCTTCGGAAACCTTAAGGATTCGTTCCTGAGACGAGAGACCTTGATATGTACATACAGAAACATTTACGAGGCTTATCCCAAAGAAAAAGTGGTCGGAATCTACAGAATGACTACACCGGCTATCCTGGTGCGCGACTTAGAGCTTGTTAAGCATATACTCATCAAGGACTTTGATAACTTCGTCGACAGAGGAGTGGAAATAAGCGACAAGGCTATGGGAGCAAACTTGTTCCACGCCGATGGCGACAGATGGAGAGTTCTGAGGGGACATTTCACACCCGCGTTTACATCGGGAAAGCTCAAAAACATGTTGTACCTAATGACGGAGCGCGCGGATAAATTCATCGAATACATCGATAATATTACACAAACGCAGCCAGAACAGTCTATGCACCAGTTATTCCAAAAGTACACGATGTCAATGATCAGCGCCTGCGCCTTCGGTCTGGATCTAGACGAAAACATGATAGGTACTTTGCAAAAAATGGACAAAATGATTTTTGGCGCCAACTACGGCACCGAGCTGGATATGATGTATCCTGGCATATTGAAAAAAATCGGTGGTTCGATCATGCCGCGGTTGGTGATAGACTTTTTTCAAAATCTCGTAAAACAAGTCATAAATCAGAGAGGCGGAAAACCGACAGGTAGAAAAGATTTTATGGATTTAATTCTTGAATTGAGACAACAGAAAGTAATCGAAGGAGCGAAGAGATTTGAAAACAAAAATGTAACGTCATTCGAACTGACGGACAGTATAATTGCGGCGCAAGTGTTTACTTTCTATGCAGCCGGGTACGAGTCGAGTGCGTCCACGATGGCCTTCATGTTGTACGAGTTGGCCAAACACCCCGACATTCAGGACAAGGTCATCAAAGAGATCGACGAAGTCCTCAAGCGTCACAATGGTGAAGTAACCCACGAATGCTTGAACGAGATGACGTACTTACATCAGGTGTTCGATGAGACGTTGAGAATGTACCCGTTGGCTGATTTGCTGCAGCGAAACGCTAAAGAAGATTACGAGCTACCAGGCACCGACATTACTGTGAAGAAAGGACAAACGGTGATCATCAGTGGCTTTGGTATACATCATGACCCTAAATACCACCCAGACCCGGAAAAATTCGATCCGGACCGTTTCAGTCCCGAAAATGCAAAGAATATAGACTCCTGCGCCTATTTACCATTTGGAGTTGGGCCCAGGAACTGCATAGGTATGTGAACAAATTTTATTTTTACGGATAAACCTACTAAACTAGAACAAGGGATTGAAAGATTACCTATGATTACTTCCCTAAAACATAATCTTAGTTTATCTTCTCATCTAAGTGGTGCCATTGAAATTAAAAGATAAGATTTAAGATAAAAATAAGCATCATGAAAGAGATTAAAAATACAGATTATGTTACGATTCGAGGTAGTACAACTGTTCAGTGGATGTTTTTAACCAATCTGTGACAAAGTATGATGTTACAAAATTATTGACAACTCTAAACTTTTCTAGAACACAAATTATTATCAAAATCAAATATATTAGATCCAAGCAATAGACCGACAAAGACTATTATTAGACGGGTGTTTCCCGTTGGACCGATCGAATCAACAATACAATCAATAAACCCAATGGGTCAATCGATTGATGGGCCGATCAGCCAATGGGAAACGACCAATCAAAGCCGTTGGTATTCACCTGGTCAAACTAATTTATGACAGCTCACTAGCGCCTGTCAATGTCAATAATGTACCAGAAGTTTCTTTTCGTACTGTAAATCTCATGTAATGTTTTTTCTTATTTATGCTTGCAGGGATGCGTTTCGCTAAAATACAATCACGAATTGGCATGGCTAAATTCTTTTCCAAATATCGCGTCGAGCCGTCGAAGAAGACTGCAATGAAGTTAACATTCGATCCCACGCGTGCATTGCTCTCGGCTACTGGAGGAATCTACCTAAATATTGTGCTTCGATAAACTTCAAACCATGTTAAAGAAATGCCTGGTTTACATGCCAGTAGCGTTGGCGTGCAACTGACATAATGTAAACATTAACTGATGCCTCTGAGCCCATACAATCCATGCCACGGCGCTATTTTTCAACTGTATTGGCCAAATGTAAACCAGGCATAATAACATTAACTGTCATAGTCAGAGTCGCTTAATGGTTATTTAAATCCCTTTAGATCAGATTTTCATCTACCTTAAAGTTCTCTCGTAGTAACTACTTTGTGACTGTGAGTGCGGCAGTACGGTACTCAAATCTATCGATTTTTGTGTCATAATTTATCTCATTGTATATATTAGTTATTGATAGATTCTAGCATTTTGTATATTTTAAAATAAAATTTATAATAAAAATATGAATGAATACTTTTATTCGCGTCTTCACTTTTTAAGTGTAGACGACAACCGCACGAAAGGATATAACCCCCAACAGATAGCAACCCGCGGAGATATTTCAAGATGTTCACCATCGAGCGATTACAAGGAATTCAGTCTTAACCTTGTGAATTTGTCGCGACTTCAGCGTCTTGGCCATGCGCTGAAGTTTTTTTAATTGATTTTTTTCATAAAAACATGAACTCATAAATATGTTAAAAAAATAACAATTAAAAAGTTTTGTCTACTTATCACTGTTATTTTTAAAGAACAATCAATTATCCATGTAACTTCAAGATGTTTTTTATACATTCGTCATATAGATAAGGTGGCACAAGGCCCACTGGATTCGCCGAATTATCGAAGTAACGGCTGCCCGTAGAAATCCGCAAAAATAGATGCTTTACCTAGCAATTACCAACCATTAATCGATGGAGGTGAGGTAAGGATGCACGGAAAATGTATATTTCCTCATCCTAAGCATCCTCTCCTCTATAAAATCTACTTCTTACCATAGACTTTGCTTATGATACGATAAAGCATCACCTTAAACCTTAGATAAGTAACTTATAAGATATATTTATTTGTTCCATTTAATGGCAAATGGGTTTTCCTCAGCATAATCTAATTGCAAATGTAATTCTATCTAAGATTTCGCCCATCAACGGAAAAACAGAACGTTCTGTGATACGTAATTTAAAAAAACAAAAATATACAAATACTTCACTCGTTTATTTTGTGACGATGCATCTTGCCTAAACGGAAAAAAAATGTCATGCTTTTTACTGTCAACTGTCATACAAGACGCAACGTGTCAGTGTCACTGTCATCGATCAAAAAAAAAAAACAAAGTTACTGCTTGTAGCGAAAAAATATTTTGAATTTACAGCTCAAACTTTGATTTTAAAATGGATCCAAAAGATGTATGTGTTGAAATAGAAAACGACGAGTTTTACAGTAAGTTCCTAGTGGATTCTGTTAAGCCGATAATCGGTGAAAATATTTCAGTAAGCGATCAAGTTAGTAAACTAGCTCTAGGCATCGAAAAACTAACAAAAAGCTTGGAGAAGCAAGTTTTAGATAAACACAATGATCTCTTGACACAAGCTAGCCACATATCAGATCTAGAAGCAATGCTAGAATCTGTTAGAAGTCAAGTAAAAAATTTGTTACGAGGTGCCGAAAAACTGAAAGATCGTGTTCATGGGCCTTACGCCACGCTTGTAAAGCAAACTATGATGCTGGAGAGAGTACAAATTGTATGCAATTTACTTCGCCATGCATCCAAAATATTAATATTATGGAATAAACTATGTTCTGTCAAGGATAACCCACCCAAAGAGGCAATTATACTGTTCGAGCTAGACGAGTTAATTAGCGATTACAATTTTGAAGGTATAACACTGTTAGATGAAGTATTAAAGCAAGTAGATCATAGGAAGAAAGATTTGCTAAACAATGCAACAGAATTACTACAATCAAGCTTGTTAACTGGTGATAAGACAAAGTTATTACAATGTTTTAAAGTATTCCACAATTTACAATGCACTGAACAACAGATTAAAAACACAGTCGATAGTATGCTCAGTGACTTAAAGAAGGAGATAAACAAGGCTCTTAATATTCAAATGGTCTCTATTGAAGTAAAAAAGTCAAGTTCTGGACGCATGGCACCCGGCAAAGCAAATATTATGAATGCACATGACTTCAAAATAAAACTATGGGATAATATAGAGAAACTATTTAACATTGACATTTATAACAGCTGCACCAAGGTCATTATGCTGCAAAATGTTGTTAATGAACTCCATGCTATTGGAAACTTCCGGAATATATTGAAAAACTTCTGGAAAGAATTGTCAACAATATTCAGCACCGAGCTAGAGAAGAGTCCGTCTAATGTCAACCAATCGGTGGATATTGATTTTCCTAAAATCCTAAAATGTTTCAATGATCTTATTATTCGTCTAAAATGCAAGGATTTAGAAATGAATCGATCTAGTCTTGGCCGATGGGAGAATGCTTTTCTATCAAAATCTTTAGGCAAATTACTAGATCCTGTGAGAACTATGTGGCATTTAAACCAAGTACCAAGTATGGACCAGATTGATAATGCTATAAGGGTTATTGCGGAGGCTCTAAGTGTATCACTCAGTGACAAACAGCTGAGTATTAGCTTAGCAAATAGTGTTGCTAAGAGCATCAAGCAGATGAACATGGAAGCTGAACAAAGAATGTCTATGGACAGTGATGTTGCTCAGATCATAGAGCCACCAACAAGCTCGCAGCAGAAGAATGCTGACTTATGCAACTCATTATATTATTTCTCATCTCAAATTAAACGAGTTCTTGTTAATATGAACTCGATGTTGCCACAGGAGAGTGTACAAATAGTCCAGAATAGCCTTAAAGATATATCAAGCACACCAATACTGCAATTATTTGCTGAATCCATTAAAAACTCTCTATTTCTGATATTAATGACAATGCATGATGAGCCAGATCTTACAAGAGCTGATGATCCATATAAAAAAACATTATCCTGTTCTCCATACATGAAGGAACTTCAACAATTTGTATCAAGATGCAGAGATATCTATCTGTCAATGTTCCAAGAGAAATCTGCTCTTAATGAATGTTGTATAAACATATCGAAAGCATGCGTTGAAAGGTTCATTCAACATGTATGTAATACCAGACCATTGACGAAATTCGGTCGAGTGAAACTACAAATTGACTGCAAACAATTAGAGACTGCATTATCACCATTGGTGAACGATATAACTGAACTTGGTAATCATTATAGACAATTAAAAGCGTTACAATTGCTTCTAGAAAAATCACCGCAAGACATCGCTAAGAGTCAGTGTGAAGGTGCATTATTACCTTATTCTATTGTTATGATGTTTTTATTTTCTTTCGCGGGACCACAGCTAGTTGCTCCTCATACTTGTGCGGGATGGAATATTCAGAAGTTAATGCAATGGTTGGATTCCCATAGGAATGAGAGGGATAGATTGGAGTTTGTTGCCGGTGCGTTGCAGAGATATCAGAACCATGTCCGACAAAACCAAATAGCTACATATGATGAGGTATACCCAGTGCTGTTACAACTTTTAGAAGACGGTAGAAATAGTTTGAAGAAGTAAAAACTGCATTAAACCAGAGAAGTGTTAAAAATGTGTAGTGAATTCTATTGGTTTTTTTTCGTGGACTAAGTAAAGTGATATATACTAAGTTATTTTTTTTAGTTAATATTTTAAATGGTTATGTACACTTAATTTACCTGTATAAAGTATTTTAAGAAAATGAAGCAAGTAAATTAAGGTATTTTGTTGTCACGATAGTTGGAGTATTCTATATTATAATGTAATTTCAATAATAACCAAATAAACATTTTCTTTTATTTAATTAAAACAAAAATAGTACTTCAAACATAACTTTGTTTCCTTTATTCTTCGCTACTTCTTACACCGTACAGAATGTTCTTATCATCCTGTGTGTCTTGTTCAACTCTCGGTGAATCCTGAACAATAAACACATTGCACTAAAAATCAGATATATGAAAAGTTTTACTTATAACTTTCATGAAAACTATATGAACTCATTTCTAGTAAGAATTCGATTGACTGAACATAACTTTTAGATTTAACATTTAAAAGTGGGGCCTGACCCACTACTGGCTGATAGAGGCTCAGATAGCTTAAAATGACGTCACTGTCATAAGGGAACAAAACCTAATATTTCCATCACAAATTACAAGTTGGATTGTTATCAGATAATTTACAATTTGATGGGACAGGCCTTAAATCTTACTAATACTATAAATGCGAAAGTTTAGATGGATGGATGTTTGTTAGTTTGTAGCCTAAACGGCTAAATGGATTTCGATGAAATTTTGTATAGATGTAGACAGTATGGAAGAACAAATAGGCTACACACTTTTTTTTTTAAATCCACGTGGCCGAAAGCCCATAAGTAACATGTGCAGTTGTATTATAAGATACAGAGATTACCACTTGTATATATCAGGTATAAAAAAACTACTTTTATAATAATTAACTATATTTAATATCTTTACAACCAACATACAAATTACATATCAATATTCTTCAACCATATATAAATAGTTACATATTTACGCATCAAACCAACAAAATAACAAAACTAAATACAAAAACCAACATACTAAATATATTACAACATACACATTAGTGATGTGCCAACTCGGGAAAAACGTAACTCGAGTTAAAATCCACGTAATTCGGGTTGAACTCGAGTTAACCATCACTAATACACATAAACCTCACATTATATACTTTACAACTACCAACATACAGTTGTCTAGTCTTTTTTTCAATAAAAATGCTTATTTACTTCACACTTGCCTTGAAATCTTAAATCCCTTATCAAAGTTTTTAACCAATGTCAGATGTCCAATGCAAGTAGAAACGTTACAAAGGTAGGCATTACAAATATACTAATATAAGAGGAAAAATTTGTATTTTTGAAATTAAATTTGAAAATTAAATTTTGAATAAAACGTGCCCACCTTTGCAAACCTAACAAAAATTGTGCGATAACTAAATCTATGTAATTATACAAGAGTGTTTTTCCAAAAAAATATCGTGTTTAACGAGTTGTACTGTAGTTGTGATATTTAGGGTCTGTCCCAACACTGGCTGATAGAGACTCAGATAGCTTAAAAATGACCTCACTGTCAGATAAGGTAATAAAATCCGTTATTTCCATCACATGTTTTACACATTCGATTGTTATTAGATAATTTACAATTGGGAAAGGCCATTAATATTTTGAAGCGTTACAAGACGGTTGGTAATGCAGTAAAAACCGGTTGTTACCAGTTGAAACCAGTTACAACCGGTTTAAACCAGTCTAGACCTGTTCGAAAGCGATGTTGTAGACATCCTCGTAGTGAGACACGAAGTGCACGTCGATGTTTTCTCTGATGAAGGCGGGGAGGTCGTCGAAGTCTCGCCGATTTTCCTCAGGGAGGACCACGCACGTCACCCCCACTCGTTTCGCCTGCACAAATGGGGAATAACACCAATCAAGGGAATTTAAGCTTTAAAAGGCTATCATTGGGAAATTTTATTTCGATCTCAGAAGCTACGCTTGTCCTCTAAACGACCTTGATGTTTTTATCGCTTATAAACTATTAGCTTACAACTCTTGATCAATGTCTCTTTTTAAATAGACTTAGGGGTATACTAATCGCTAATTGACCAACAACTGTCCTTGAAATGACCTTGAGTGTTTATAATGTGCAGTTTTAAACTTCTTTTTTTATTTTAACTAAGGTCTAGGATTGTGCTAGAAAATGGTTTTCAATAGTTGAATAGCGGGATTCGAAACTTCGACCACGTGATCGGAAATCCGTACCCTTGACCATTAGACTATTGGCGTTTAAGCGCCTAGCCGTACCATCACATTGTATCTTTTTACCAAACTTAGGGATTGACCGCTAAATGACCTACAAATGTCCTTAACCCAGACTTAGGGTTATATTGACTTACAAATATCCTTGAAATGACCTTGAACGTTTTAAGGTGTAGTTTTGTACTGACCGCAATAATCTTCTCCTTGATACCGCCGACGGGCAGTATTCGCCCCGTGAGCGAAATCTCTCCGGTCATGGCGAGCTGCGCGCGCGCCGGCCGCCGCAGCGCCAGCGAGAGCAGCGCTGTGGTGATGGTGCAGCCCGCTGATGGACCGTCTTTGGGGGTCGCACCTTCAGGCACGTGTAAGTGCAAGTGACTGTAAATTATATTAACGAGATAAAAAAAACTATTCGTAACACGTAATTTTTTATTTAATACTAGCTGTTCCCGTGCGGCTTCATCCGCATTTTATTGTTTATGTGTCAAATTCTCAATCGCAAATGTCAAAATGACCGTTACTGTAATCACCTTGCTTCCTTAATGTTGGCTTGTTGTTTATGGTCCCTTTCCCACATGAAGGTTTTTCCAATTTATTCACCCCCTAAGTTTAATAGCGTGAAAATATACAGTCTAAAGCGTGTTATAAGTATAGTGCTTTTTATTAAAGATAGAATTATTCAAAAATGATATGATTATTGAGATCCTACGCCACAAAGAGGTGTGTTTGTTTTTATATTAGTAGATCGTTGGTCCTTCGAGCAGGAATGTGACCTGTTGTTGAGGAAGGTGTTGGCAGGATGGCGCAGCGCGAGGAAGTTGCGTGCGACGGTGAGCGCGATGCGGGCGGACTCCTTCATGACGTCACCGAGGTGGCCCGTCAGCTCCAGCGACCCCAGCGGCTTCTCCTCCTGCTGCGTGTTGCGGAGTGCCGTCTCTATGTACAGCGTGCTACCGCCTGATAGAAAATACATGCTTTTTATGCATCAAAAAGTTTAATTTTACTTAGATTTTAAATTTTGTAATCATTACCGAATGCAATATTAAGTACTTGTTTCTCTTTTCTGTATAACTCAGTGTAGTATTTTAGGGTAAAAAACCGGCGCTTCGGTTTACATACGCAAGGGAATTCCTTTTATTTTGAATAAATAAATTCTTTCTTTCAAAATTAACCACTGACCATGTAATACAAACGGATAATATGCGTTTGGGAACAAATGTTAAATCCTAACAACTAAATTTACCTAGTTTATCGTGGATATCTAAGTCGGTAAGAAGGTTGCTTCTGTCTCGTTTGATACTGTTAGAAAATATACAAAATATACAAGGATATAGATAAAGCCATGTATAGACGATAGCGACGCACGTGGCGAGGGAAATACAATAAACGAAACATTAAAGGGCTTTGAAATGTCATCGTCAATACAATAAAAGAAAATAAATCACATAAAAGTTACAGTATGAAACAGTTTTGAAAGAAAAAAAAAACATGTCTGACCTTCCATTGGGTCTATATCCCATACTTGTCGGTCTATAAATTCACAAATAATTGCTATCCCTATTCCTTTAAGAAAGACTTACCCATGGCGGTCCAGGCGAGACCCATAACAACGCCGGGAGGGGTGATGTCATACATGCGGTCATGTTTGAAGGTCGGCTTGCCCACCAGCCCCGGCAGCGCAGCCTCGTCTACCACCACCCTCTCAGCCTCCGCCTCACCACGCACTATCTTGTACGCCACTTTACGGGCTATCTGAAGAACATTATCGTCCTTAGATCGTTTACCTCTTTCCCTTGGAATAGGAAGTGGAATTTGTCAAGGGATGGGACACAGGGGAAATTTCGCGTATCTGTTCATCCTCTCTGTTAAAAATGGGCAACGTTTCTACAAACGGATGTAGGGGACAGTATCTTTTTCTTTTTTTTATAACATAAGGTGGCAAACGAGCAAGCGGCCACCTGAATCCGCCAAAATGGTGAAGCGACCGCTTCCCATAGACATCCGCAATTGCAGATGCGTTGCCTACCCTTATCCGACGGAGGAGGAGACGCACATAAAGAGAATATTTCCCCTTCCTATGCATCTCCTCCACCGTCAAATCCACTTCCCCGTCCCATCCTCCCCGGCCCTGCAGTGCTAAGATGTTAAAGCGGGCACTACCACTGTTAAAATTATTCGCTTTGCTATATTGGAGAATTCCAGTGGCAACTTGTTTGTCACCTTATTATATAGAAGTAACGAAAAATTGTAAATGTTTGTCGCCGTATAACTCGTAAATTACCACTTTATAGATTATAATGAAACTTAATCAGAAAATTCTAGAGACTCTAGAAAAGGTTTGCATGCAAAAAAATCTTAAAAAACAAAACAATCAAACTTTAAAAACTTGTCTCCTCTTTCGAAACACCATTAAGTTGTCATTCTATTTGAAAATAAAGAAACAGTTTCTATACAATTATTTCTGGCTTACCTTCTCGATATGCTTCTGTAGGTTCCTGACGCCGCTTTCCCGACAGTAGGACTTAATAAGGCTGCTGAGAGCTTCGGGCTGTAAATCTAGCTGCTGCTCAGTGAGACCGCAGTTCTTACGCGCAGTCGGCACTAAGTATTGCTGAGCTATCGCCATTTTCTCTTCCGCCACATAACCTATACGTTAATATGTTAAATAATGTAAAGATATTTTATTATACATAAAACAACTGGGCCGATTTGAACGATTCTTTTACTAATAAATAGCTAGGTTATGTTTTTTTATTTCACGCAAACGTTAAGTTAAGTTAAGAAGTTACGAGCAACATTTGTATGTTAAATTTGTTACCACTTCGAATAATCTAATCTAGAAACTCAGTGTCCGTAACGTAAAAGTTTTTCCTGATTTTCAAAAAGAGAGATAAAATAACAAAGCTTAAATAAACGAAAATATGTTGTTGTAAAATCTTTGCACATTAACTGACCGGACATGTCAATGAGTTCCATGCGGTCTCTGAGCGGCTCTGGGATGTGCTCGACGACGTTAGCGGTGCAGATGAAGAGGACACGCGACAGGTCCACCGGCACATCTAGGTAATGGTCTAGGAAGTTGGCATTCTGCTCCGGGTCTAGTAGTTCCAGCAACGCGGAAGATGGGTCCCCGTGCACGCCCCTTTATAATTCAAAAACAACTATTGCAGTAAACATCTCGATTTACATTGATTACCTTATTAAAACTTTCTTGATACATTATACTATATGATTTATAACACGGCTAAAACTCACGTGGAAACTTTCGTAGTTCGTGATGCCTACACTGAAAGTTCCCACGTGAGTTTTAGCCGTGTTATAAATCATATAATATAGTTACCTTTTGCTGATAAACAAATGTCTTACAAAAAATCTTTTTTTGGACAATTGCAATAAATACGTGAAATGTGCGGGACACTACCTAATCCACACTATCTGCATAAAAATTGTACATTTTCTTTGCTGAGTATTGTGGGTTTTCAAAGATTTTTTAAAATTCCAATTTGTTAAAAGCAATTGTTGATTAAAAAATAATGACTAATTATTTAATATCTCATATCAATTCAATTTTTATGATATTTAAAAAAAAAACTTTTTACAAACGAACTAAAACGTTGTCAAAAATTTAAGAAATAGAAATATTTTTAATATATTAAAATTCAACCCGAAAACTATTGCCAAATAAAAAATACCACTGTAAAAAAGAAACAAAAAAAGACTGCGACAATTCAATTAAAATAGTTTTTTTTGTTTTAAAAGGGGGCAAACAAGCGGCGTGGACACCTAGGTGGTCAACGACGCCCATGGACATCCGTAACACCAGAGGAACTACAGATGCGTTGCCTGCCTTTGAGGAAATGATAGGCTCGTTTCTTGAAGGACCCTAAGTCGTTAGTTCTACCAATGTTAAAAATTCCTACACAAAAAAAACTTTAACCGAAAGTATAGGGTTGTCACTCACTTGCCAATCTTGTCGACCTCATCGATGAGCACCAATGGGTTTTCAGTGCCGGTCTTTTTCAGGCACTGTACCAGTTTGCCTGGCATCGCGCCCACGTATGTGCGCCGGTGACCCTTGATCTCCGCCACGTCCGTCATACCCCCTACTGAGAACCTGAAGTACTGACGGTTCAACGCACGTGCGATCGAACGAGCTGAAACATATTGTAAAATGAAAGAATCGCCTAACATTCTTAATTTAGCGAGTTATCTATCGAAAACTACTGGATTGGTATCAAAAATATTTCATCAAAAAAGCTACATTAGTAACGTAGACTATATTTTTTTATAATATAATATAAGGTAGCAAACGAACACACGGCCACCTGAATTTACCGAAATGGAAAGCGACCGCTGGCCATAAACATCCGCAATTGCAGATACGTTGCGTCTCCTTAACTGACGGAGGAGAAGACGCACATAAAGAGGACATTTCCCCTTCCTATGCGTCTCCTCCACCGTCAAATCCACTTTTATAACCCACTGCTGTTGCTCGTGACTTCACCAGCGTAAAAATAATAAAAAATATATATCCTATGTAACTTACTGATAACGTAGCTTTTTAATGGTGATTGGCTGTTATTAGCCCAGTAGTTTTTGAGTTATTTTAATACATACAAAAATACAAATTTTTATAATACAAGTAGATAGGTTTAAACTGTTGTGGTTTTTAAAAATATAATGTTCGTAAGATACGCGTTTCTCAACACGATTGGGTTGTTTTAGCTCCCGATATTTCGGCACAGTTGCATGCGCCATGTTCACTGACAGCCCGTGAACATAGCACAAGTTTTCTAATAGTAAATAGGGGCTCGGAGCCTTCCCTATATTGGGGTGTCTAGACCATAGTCAACCAACCGCTGGCCAAGTGCGCGTTGGTTGACTTCTACGTCGGGTAAATCATGTACATATGAAATTCGAAAATCGTTATTCACATTGGTACAGCGAGATTCGAACCCAGGACCTGTAGATACAAGTGCTCAAACTCCTGAGCCAGCGACCCTCTAATATCAGTAATCGGACTGATACTTTTTAATTATTCAATACATAGAAAAATAAACATTTTTCCATTTTTTACAGAATTACAGAATAAAAATTAGACATGCTATTTAAAAATATAACCTTAATATGTGTTTGTATAATTTTAAATTCTAATATATTTTACTTCGGTGGTAATAAGACAAGTATTTGCTCGTTTTTTGCCTGATTTTATTGTTTGCTAATTTTGTATTTTGAGTACATTTAAAAGTGTAGGAATAGGTCGTGTACTTTAAATCAAAAACGAATCAATACTTAAAAAATCTGAGAGCTATACTATATTTATTGTAGTTTATTACAATCTAGGTTAAAATTTTAACTTTTTTTGCGTCTATGCCTTTGGATAAAGTTAATTGGTGTTACAATTTTTTTATTATAATTTAAATAATATTTAAAATCTAATTTCCAATTAAATTATTTTAATAATTTTTAATAATAAATTTATCAAGTAAAAAAATAATTCTTTGATGAAACTAAAAAAAATAAAACTTAATCAATTGGATTTTTTACAAACACTATTAAAACAAATTTATTAGCATAAAAAGATATTAAATGAAAAAACAAAAATTAAAAACGAGGTCCTAAATGCAGGAGTACCCAAAAATAATCATCCGCAAAATTAAATTACATGCACAATTATTTAATTGGCTTTATTTTATATTTATATAACATATTTTTTTATATTTATTTCAATTTTAAGACATATTTTCTATAGAACTAAAAATTACTAAAAAAAAAAAAATTGTTTTTTTTTTTAAATAAAAAAAAATTACGAAAAAACGAAAAAATAGACAATTTGAAAAAAAATTGATATAACCAACCTTGGAAAAATCAGCATTTTGCTATATTTTTTAAACGAAACAAGACAACGAGTACAACGAACAGCGTCGCTGCACGACAGACAGATAAGTAATGATCACATTTTCAGACAATAATTTCAATATCATCGGAACATAATGACTTTCAATATATTTGCCGTGTAATCAAAATTCACAATTAACACATCATCATTCTTATACAATAACTAAATTTATTTTATCGCTGTAAAATCCCAATTTACGATAACATATTTTACCTGTAAAATCTAAAAACGTACAACATATGGAATACGAATTAGACGTTAATAGATTCGATTGCCGATATTATACATATACTAGCTTATGCCCGCGACTTCGATTAAAAACTAAATAACCTATATGTTCTTCCAGATTGTATCCAGAAAAAAGGTAGTAATAACGAAACTTTCGATTTAATTATATTAGTAAGAAGTTATTAAAAGTTTACGAGGAACTTGCAACATCTTTAGAAATATATACTAATATAACAAAGCGTAAACACACACATCTTTGTTACCTAAGATGTCAGCAATTACAGCATATTTTTGAATTTTTATTTTAATAAAAAGCCTTACACTTGCGTCAAACTTTAGACTATATATTTTAACGCCATTAAACTTAGGGGGTAAATGTTTTGGATAAAAACCTTAATGTGGGAAAGAAACCATAAGTTGCTGCAAACATCAAGGAAGGAAGCAAGATTGTCATCGTGTCATGTCATTTTGACATTTGTAATTTGACAAATGAAAACAATAAAATTAAATTTTCGTAATTTCATGCGGATGAAGTCGCACGGGAACAGCTAGTCTTTCATGATGGTAATAACGTTTTTTAAAGAATTATTGTAACCTCCGATACTACATGTAAAGTAAGCATGTTGTTTCCATGTTATTATTAACATGAGCGTTTGTTTCTGTATAAGTTTTTCTATTGCACAGACGCAGTCGCGTACTACAGCTAGTAAAGGATAAAACAAACCTCTTTTATTTAATGTTTTCATATTAATATCACAATAAACATATTTATTTAGATAAAAGATAACCAGCGTAATAAAAAAAGACAAATTTATTCATTAATTGACCGTCATGCTCACATCAAAAATCCAAGCCAACAGATACACGATGATGTAATTGCCTCAGCATTATTTGTTCAATACGATTGTCATAGTGATATCTAATTATAAAAAAAATCCAGTCAGAATAAATAATCTAAAACAGATACAAAAACATAATTTTATCTCTATTCATATTAAATTTCTCATGAAAACTTCAACTAGGACCAAAAAGATATAGTAAATATATAGAAGAAGCATAGTTTGCGTTTCTATTCAGACATATATACTATATATCTACACTATTATAATAAAGCGTGAACACACACTTCTTTGTTGCATAGATGTCAGCAATTACAGCATATTTTTTAATTAATTATTTTTTTAATAAAAAGCCCTACACTTACGTCACGCTTTAGGCTATATATTTTCACGCCATTAAACTTAAGGGGTAATTTTTTTGGATAAAAACCGTAATGTGGGAAAGAGACCATAAGTTGCTGCCAACATCAAGAAAGTAAGTTTGCCAAGGTTTGTCACGTCACGTTATTTTAACGTTTGTAATTAATAATTTGACAAATGTAAACAATAAAATAAAATTTTCATAATTTCATGCGGACGAAGTCGCACGGGAACAGCTAGTTTTTCATATGATCTACTAAGATTTTGATACGATATTAAGAGTGTCAATATAATTCATTGTATTTGAGTGAATCGCTAACATTTCATCGCAAAAGATGGAGCTTATTATCTACGATTAGACTAATATTATAAAGAGAAAAGATTTTTATTTTTCATTTTGAATCACTCAAAAACTACTGGGCCGATTTTAAAAATTCTGTCACAATTAGAAAGGTAATTTATCTCTGAGTAACTAGGCTATATTTTTTAATAGCACGCGAGCAAAGTCGCAAGCAACAGCTTGTAATTTTGTAAATTGTTTTCAACATGCCAATACAAGAGCAATAGGTGGCATTTTTATTGCTCCATGCTATTGAAATGCGTTTTTTTTTAAAAAAAGATTAGCTGTTGCTCGCGAAATCGTCCGCGTGAAATAAAAAAATATAGCCTATGATGCTTGCAGATTAATTACCTATCTAATCGTGAAATAATTTTTGACATCTGCCCAGTAGTTTTTGAGAAAATAGAATATATTAAAAATCTAAAAATACAAATTTTTCCTCTTTAGAACATTAGTATAGCAATCTATATCAATTCCAAAGTTCCAATGAACAACTCTGGTTTCCTTATAGGGTTTGTAACTTCACTTTTTTGCATCTATCTATAAAAATAAGGAGGATTTATCAAACAGGTATCTAAGGGTAAAAATCAATATAAATAACTATTTAATTTCAACAATTAAATTAAAATTTTAATTACATTACGAACCAAATTCAACCGATCAAAAAACGGAACAAGATTTAGCGATGTAACGATTCTCCGATTAGCGTTAAAGAGAGATAAGCGCCGTTCTATAAATATGCTAGCCTGTAAGACACTTGCCATTCAGTGCTCTGATCAGATCGTATCAGCACGTTCAACAAACATGATGTTCATACTGGTGTCTATAGCAGCGTGCATCGCCGCATTGTACTACTACTTCACCAGGACATTTGATTACTGGAAGAAAAAAAATGTCGTCGGACCCAAACCGCTGCCATTCTTCGGTAATCTTAAGGATTCATTTCTAAGAAAGAAAACCTTGATAGTCGTCCAAAAAAGCATCTACGACGCCTATCCTGAAGAAAAAGTGGTCGGAATCTACAGAATGACAACGCCAACTCTAATGTTGCGGGACTTGGACATCATCAAACATGTTTTAGTTAAAGACTTCGAACAATTCATCGACAGGGGAGTGGAGTTCAGCGACAAAGGTATGGGAGCTAACTTATTCCACGCCGACGGCGAAAGGTGGAGAGTCCTGAGAGGACACTTCACTCCAGTATTCACGTCAGGGAAACTCAAAAACATGTTGTACCTGATGACGGCGCGAGCGGACAAATTCATCCAGCACATCGACACCATTACCCAGCAGCAATCGGAGCAGTCTCTGCATCAGCTCTTCCAGAAGTACACAATGTCGGTGATCAGCGCTTGCGCTTTCGGTGTCGATCTTGACGACAAAATGATGGACACTTTGGAAAAAATGGACAAACTTATTTTCTCTGCAAACTACAGTATCGAATTGGATATGATGTATCCTGGTATATTGAAGAAGTTCAACGGCTCCCTGGTGCCGCGCTACGTGACTAAGTTCTTTGAAAACCTCGTGAAACAAGTTATAAAACAAAGAGGTGGACGACCGACAGGAAGGAAAGATTTTATGGATCTCATTCTAGAATTGAGACAGCAGAAAACAATCGAAGGTCGGAAGAGATTCGAAAACGAAAACCAACCGACATTGGAACTGACCGACAGCATTATCGCTGCTCAGGCGTTTATATTCTACGGAGCCGGATACGAGTCGAGCGCATCCACGATGGCGTTCATGTTGTACGAGATGGCAAGGAACCCGGACATACAGGACAAGGTCATCAAAGAGATCGATGATGTCCTCAAGCGAAACAATGGCGAGGTGAGCTACGAGTGCCTGAACGAGATGACGTACTTGCATCAGGTGTTCGATGAAACGTTGAGGATGTACCCGTTGGCGGATCTGATCCAGCGCGTCACCCACACAGAGTACAAGTTGCCGGGCACAGACATCACGCTGGAGAAGGGCAGACCGGTGATCATCAGCGCGTGGGGCATCCAACACGACCCTAAATACTACCCAGACCCGGAAAGATTCGACCCGGAACGCTTCAGTGCGGAAAATGTGAAAAACCGACACCCCTGCGCTTACTTACCTTTCGGAGCTGGTCCAAGGAATTGCATAGGTATGTACATTTTTTGCTATATTTATTTAAATAGTCCAAACCTCGATAGTCGTATAATTTCCCCTGTATAAAAAATAGTGGACTTTTTACACAAGAATGTCGTTTAATCTAGTGTAGATTTTGAAAATTCGTTTAGTTTTGTTAATGATAACACTGAATTTATAATACCTCAAAAAAGGACCATGTGGTCTTCAGATTTTCCGCCTCACATGTGCTCCTGATTCATCTATAGATTCCAAATCTATTTATTAAGTACTAGAATAGAAAATTTAGACGAATATTGATGGAAAAAATCCAAGTGTAATTTATAAAGAAGTAACAGCATTTTTTTTAATTTCAGGTATGCGCTTCGCTAAAACACAATCAAGAGTTGGAATGGCGAAATTCTTTTCCAAATTCCGCGTCGAGCCCTCGAAGAAGACTGCTACGAATTTTACATACGACCCGATGCGTGTATTCCTCTTGCCAGAAGAAGGTATCTACGTTAATATTGTGCCACGTTAACAAAAAAACACTGAATTTGTATCTTATTATTATTATCATTTTTTATGTATAGGGCGTCTTTAAAGCATGTTAATAAATATGGTATCCGGGTGTGACATCAATTGAAAACTGTTTTTTTTACATTACTACAAACCCCGCCTTATATTGTTGAAATGAAATGGATATATCGTACCTCTCGCTCTAACTTGAGTACGCAACACGTTCTGATCCGTGATTGGTCGAAAGATTCTATCGGTGGTTGTCTAATCGTTCATATATTCACATTCGATGTGATAATAAAATCTATATTAAAATTATTTAATTTCCTCAAAGATTGTTTTATTACACTTATTTTCACATACAGCACTTCACTTTTCAGGTTAAATATAAAACTACAAAAGTTTCATTTGTAAGATAAAAATGCTATTTAAAAAAATCTGTTCAATACATATTGAACATGTGTAACAAACATTTACTGCAACCAGTTGTTCTACGTACAAAAATAGATGGCGCCACCTGTATTTTAAAACGCGATGTGGTATTGCATACGCCTTATGTTAAGTCATTTCATGTACTTTACGCAAATCAAAGATCAGAAGGTCAGAAGATAACAAATATTGTTAAAATACTGTCTTCTCAAGTTAGTTCCTACGACGCGATTCTGAGTATATTAGCTTGCTGTCTTGTGACTAATTTTATTCAGAATAGCACATTAGTGTAGCTGAATTAGGTTGCTTTGTGGTAGTGACGGCCTAATTCAGCAGGTAACCGCTTGCTGTTCTGTGACGGTTACCCGATATTTCAACATTTTTTGTAACTGCGTGTGGTTCCCAACCCGGGGTACGCGCGCAGACCAACCTCATTGGTATATAACCAATAAACGACTGTTTTTTGCCACATTGGTTGTTTTCTTTGGCTGTTTCGGCCCAAGATACCCCTGCTCTTCTTATACATGTAATTTTATATAGTCTGTGCAATCTTAGTAATTTAAGATTTTTGTAACATGGCAACACTTATACCTCAATTCACTTCCTTTTTACAACATATTGCTTCTTGTCTAAAAAAAATGTGACTGTATCTAACTTTTTGTGGTATTTAATTTACAGAAATAAATATCTAAAATATAAAACTCTGCTTTCATTTAATGAACAAAATCATCCATACAAATCTATACTAATATTATAAAGAGGAAAGATTTGTATTTTTGTATTTTTGTATGTATTCGATTCACTTAAAAACTATTGGGTCGATTTCAAAAATTTTTTCACCATTAGAAAGGTGTTACCATTAGAACTGTGAGTAACATAGGCTACATTTTTCATTGTATTTTAATTTTTAATTTCACGCGGGCGAAGTCGCGAGCAACAGCTAGTATTTTAGAAACCTCTGTGAACATTAACTCTTTAAGAAAAAACGTAGAACCTAAGCTATTTACTAGGTTTTGCCCACGACTTCGTCCGCGCGGATTTAAATACAAAAACTTAATAAGTCGACAATGTTCTACATATGTGACTAAAATCCTAGAATACGGTTAAGCCGGTTTGAAAACACATAGTAATAACCAAACATCCATCCATCCATCCAAAATTTGCATTTGCAATATTAGTATTTAAAAATACGACACCCTATTTATGTACTAATGCGTTTTACTACTGAAAAGAGTCTAAAACACTTCGTAAACACCACTTACAATCTAACATACGTAAACATTTCAATGGAATGTAGAGTTTAAATGTGACATAATTTAAGACGCTGTTACATTACAAAAGTCGTTTCACTATTCGACCGTTTTGTAAGTCTTTGTAAGTCTTATAAATGTGAAAGTCAAGATAGATGTTTGTTAGTTCGTAGCCCTAAGCTGAACCGATCTCGAGGATTGTCAAAGATGTAGAGAGTCTGGAAGAACACAGACTATTTTTGTATTTTTAATTCCGCGCAGACGATGTCGCGGGATAAATCTTACTAACATCATAAATGCAAAAGTATAGATGGATGGATGTTTGTTAGAGATAGATGCCTAAACGGCTGGATGGATTTTAATGAAATTTAGTATAGATGTAGAGGATAGTCTGGAAGAAGACATAGACTAATCACTTTTGTTTTTTTAATTAAACGCGGACGGAGTCGCGGGCGAAAGCTAGTTCATAATAAAACTTACCAATACTAGTCTTGCCGACACCTGGAGGACCATGGAAGCACAATATCTTGCCCTGAGTGGTCCCTTTGAGTTGGGAGACAGCGATAAACTCCAGGATTCTCTTCTTAATATCCTCCATGCCGTAGTGGTCCTCGTCCAGGATGACCTGGGCGTCTGCCAGCTTCAGGTTCTCCTCTGACGTCACGCCCCAAGGCAGTGACGTCAGCCAATCCAGATAGCAACGAGTCACGCTGAAATACAAGTTTGTTATTAGAAACTTGAAAAAAAAAACAACAGAACGTTATAAAACAGTCTTTTTTGGGCACTAAAGGCCTAGATGGAAAGGGAAGGGATGAAAAAAATAATACTGCATAATTTCATTATTATTCTGTTGGGTGAGTGTCGTTTATACTATAGGTTTAACAATCTTTCGTCCGTGACTACGTCCGCGTGGTATT